TCTTGCTCAGGCTGGTTTCGAACTCCTGAGCTCAAATAATCCGCCCGCCTCGGCCTCCCAGAGAGCTAGGATTACAGGCATGAGCCACCGCGCCCGGCCTCCAAATGTTCTTTTTGGCTGTCACCATTGGACTGGAATGAGAGAAGAAACCATTCTGAAGAAATTAGTTCCCAAATTACCTTTAGGTGGTACATAGCCCCTTATCAGAGATAAAACATCACATCCTACATTAACTAACATGCTACTGAAGAGTGGTCTGAGTCCCCTGTTCAACAAACACACTTGAACATGTTTGAAAAAAGGCTGCTTGGTCCCAGTGTGATCTTAACTATGCTCTCTGCTGTCCAACCACACTGATCTTCACCAGTGGCTCTGCCCACACCATGCCACAGGGCCTTTGTATGTGCTTTCCTCTGGACCACTCCTCCAACCCTAGTCACTGAGTTATCTCTGCCCCAAGGATTTTGGATACAAGATTGCATATTGTGTACCTGCATCAGCCACATTCATTAGTTCATTTCTCACTTACCTCAAACTCTTCTGCCTTTTCTGGGTAGTCCTGTAATGCCATATTTTGGAAAGAAGTTGTAGTTTGTTGAAATAAATTCTTCAAAGCAATTATTTCTTTTGTGAAGGAATGTCTTTCTTGGATTTCAGTCTGTATCAATTCCTTATTTTTTTGTGCTTTCTGAAAAACCCTAAAAGAGAGCACTGGAATGTAATTGTTTCTCTAGCCTGCTCTTCTGTGAAATAGTTTTAGTTCAACAATTAATAAAACATCTGAATAGCTCATAAAAGATGATTTTCCCCCTAAGAGAATAGTACCAGTTTTCAATAATGTGTGTACCATATATACAAATATATATCAAATTCTATCACTCAATCAAAAACCTCTCCAAACCTTTCATCCCCAAATATCCTCTTTTCATTGTACATTCTAATTGCCATCTCTATCCTCTATTTTCTTCCATCTAATCCCTGAGCTCAAATTAAAATGATTTAGAGGGGTGAATGGAGCCATGGGTGGGCTCCTGGGGACAGCCAACCCCCCTAGCCTTTTTCTCCCCAGCTGACCCTTTTTACTGTGAAACAAATACTAGAAGAGGCATTTAAGCGGGTAAAATCTTTCCTGAGCATTATTTGGTAAGTATTGTGATATAATAACAAATATATATTTGGTCCCTACCCCAGTTCCTGAGACAGAGCTCTTAATACCCTCATAGACAGGGATTCTAGAAGAATCTTTTGTTCTAATATTTGGTCTTCAACGCCAGTCCCTGACACAGAGCTCCTAAGACCTCTGTAACTTCCTGAGTGATAGGAGCATCTTTTGTTCTAATGAGGCAACTCCTGGTGGGCTCCTGGATAGCCTCAGGATGGGGGTTGGTTGCTAGGGAAACCAGCCATGTGATTAGAGGATTGGAACTTTCAGTACCAGCCCCCACCACACATACACACACACACACACACACACACACACACACACACACACACACACACACACACACACACACACACACACACCCCAACCCCAAGGAGGGGATTGGAGCTGAAGGCTGAGTTGATCACCAAAGGCCAATGATATAATCAATCATGACTATGGTGCCTCCACAAAAAACCAAAAAGACAGGATTTGGAGAGCGTCTGGATGGCTGAACACACGGAGGTGCATGGGTGGCCCACCCACCCAGAGAGAGCAGGGAAGCTCTGCACTCCTTCCCCCATACTTTGCCCAATGCATCTCTTCAATTTGTTTATCCACATCTTCTATTAGTAAACCATGAAACATCAGTAAAGTGTTTTCTTGAGTTCTGTGAGCTGCTCTAGCAAATTAATTGAACCCAAGGGAAGTGTCAGAGGAACCCTTGATTTAAAGGAAACAACCCCACACATCTGGTGTCAGAAGTGCTGCATGAGTGGTGTGTGAGAATAGAGAGAAACAACAGTTGGCTTTTTCTTCAGAGGATCTCTGGCCCTAAAATTATCACTGCCTTTGGCCCAGTGATTCTCTCTCTCAGTATCTTTCTCAATGAATTAATCACAGATGCAGATAGAGATTCTGGCGTAAGAATATTCAATGTAGTACTTTTATAAAAGTAAAAAAATCACATATGATTTAAAGGTTCTTTATTAGGGACTTGGTTAAATAAATTATGGCACATCCACATGGTAGAATACCATATAGCTAGCTATGTTTTAAAAGAACATTTAACGGCAAAGGAAGACAAATGCGATATGCTAATAAATTATTCTGTAGAATAAAAAACAGTATAATTACTAGGATCTCAATTTAAAAACAAAATCATAGTAAAAAAGAGGAGAAAAAAGTGATTGGCAGTGGTTGTTGCTGAGTGGTGAGATTAAAGTGGGTTTTCATATTAATCTTTGTAAATTTCATAATCTCTAACTTTCCCATAATGAATATGTATTACTAAATTAGAAAAATCAATGAAAAAAGAAATTTGAAGGATATTTACCCTCAGCAATGCCAGGATAGAAGTGTGTGCCTGTTTTAATTATAGTTATTAATCTTTTCCATACCTTTTTATTTTTTATTTTTAGAGGCAGGGTCTCACTCTGTCACCCAGGCTAGAGTTCAGTGGCATGATCATGGCTCACTGCAACCTCAAACTCCTGGGCTCAAGTGATCTGCCTGCCTCACCCTCCCCAGTAGCTAGGACTACAGGTGTGTGCCACTATACCCAGCTAAATTTTCTTCTTTTTAGAGATGAGATCTTGCCATGTTGCCCAGGCTAATCTCAAACTCCTGGCCTCAAATGATACTCCTGCCTTGG